GTGGCTCAGCCTGTAATCCCATGCTTTGGGAGGCTGAGGTGAGTGGATTGCCTAAGCCCGTGGGTTCGAGACCCGCCTGGGCAATTTGGCGGACCTCATCTCTACAATAAATCAAAAAATTAGCCAGGCGTGGTAGCGCGCACCTGTGTAGTTCCAGCTACTTGGAAGGCTGAAGTGGAAGGATCGCCGGAGCCCAGCAGGTCGAGGCTGCGGTGGCTGAGAGCGGCCACTGCACTCCAGTCTGGGGGACAGAGTGAGACTCCAAAAAAATATATATATATTATCTGTGTTCTAATGGTTCACAAATCTAAATTCCAAATCATTCCTTATTTTCAGACACATATAGTCAGCTGCCTCTTGTATGGACATCTTCACTCAAATGCAACATGTATAAAAATAAACTCATTTCCTTATTCTTCCCCAAACTTGTGCCATCGGTAGTATTTTCCTATTTCAGTGACTAGTAGCACTATTCATCCTTTGCCCAAACCTAAAACATGGGTATTGTCAGTTCTAGTGTCAGACTTCCCAGGTTCAAATCTTTTTTTTTTCTGGGTTCAAATCTTAATTCCACCATTTAATTTACTTGTATCTCTTTAAAGTAAATAATACCTGCCTGGTTATCAGGTTGTGAGGATTTACAAATATAATAAATGCAAAGTGCTTAGTAGAGTAATTAATTGACTTAGAAGAATGCTTAATAGGACGGGGTGCAGAGGCTCACACCTATAATCCCAGTTTGGGAGGCTGAGGCAGGAAGATTGCTTGAGTCCAGTTTGAGATCAGCCTGGGCAACATAGTGAGACCTCATCTCTAAAAAAAGAAAAAGAAAATTAGCCAGGTGTGGCAGGTACCTGTAGTTCCAGCTACTCAGGAGGCTGAGGCAGAAGGATCACCTGACTTCAGGAGGTCAAGGCTGTGGTAAGCCATGTTTGTGCCACTGCACTTCAGCCTGGAAGACAGATTGAGTCTCTGACTCAAAAAGAAAAGAAAATTAAAAGAAGAAGAATGCTCAGTAAATAGTATATTGTTATTAGTTTAAACCACCATCATCCTGTGCGGGATCATTTCAATAGCTTTCTGAGTGGTCTCCCATTTGACTATGAGTCTTTGATAATAGAGACCATGTATTATTTTGGGTTTCCATTACAATTCCTGACACGTAATGGCCATACTTATTCACATTACTATGAATGTCACATAATTCATAAATATTTGTGAATTCATAGTGGAGTGAGAGAAGCTGGAAAGAAGATGAAGTACCTGAAAGGTATACCGTCCCAGAAGTTCAAAAAAGGTCAATACTTTCACACAAAAAGGAGAAGAATGAGGTCTGGAACACTTTTGGATTGATGTACTTTGTACTCTTAATCACTTTTTCTTAAAATATATAAATTTCTTGGAGAAAGACTTGGAAAATGCAAAAAACATAAAGAAGAGATGAACTATTTTTAATCCATCACCCAGACAGAACCACTGCAATATGTATGTATATATGCTTCTCTTGAATTTAGAGTACTGTATTTTTTTTTTTTAAGTCTGCATCTCACTCTGTCGTCTAGGCTGGAGTGCGGTGGCATACCCACGGCCACTGTAGTCTCAACCTGCTGGACACAGGTGACCCTTCCACCTCAGCCCTCCAAGCATCTGGAACCACAGGTCCACGCCACCATGCCCGGGTTTTTTTGTGTTTTTTTTTCAGTTGGAATCTCACTCTGTTGCTCAGACTGGAGTGTAATGGCACACTCACAGCCACCACAACCTCGACCTACTGGGCTCAGGTAATCCTTCCACCTCAGCCTTTCAAGTAGCTGGAATTACAGGTATGTGCCACCGAACCCAGCTGACTTTTTGATTTATTGTACAGCCGAGGTCTCGCCATGTTACTCAGGCTGGCCTCAGACCCCTGAGCTCAGGTAATCCTCTAGCCTCCACCTCCCAAAGTGCTGGAATTACATGTGTGAGCCACCGTGCCTGGCTAATTTTTTGATTTATTGTAGAGACGAGGTCTCACCAAGTTGCCCAGGCTGTTCTCAAACCCCTGGGCTCAGGCAATCCTCTCACCTCGGCCTCCCAAAGTGCTGGGATTATAGGCTGGAGCCACCCCGCCTGGCCTGATTATTTTCTTAAGAATGACATTTTAAAATACATATACCCTTCTGACTCACACAGTTGATAGGCAAAAACGTGAGAAAAAAATATCATCTCTTTACTCTTCGTCCTTCCTCTAACCCTCAAACATTAGGGACAACTAGTTTCGTTAATAGCTAGTTTCATTTACCTTGATCAAGCTTGCTCTCTAGTTCCAGATCTTGGCATCTAGGTCTCAGTTTCTGAAACTTGCTTTGTGTAAGCACACCAATTACAAACTAGGAGTTTTAGCTAATTGATTCCATTTAAGCTTCACATTCCTGAGATATATCATTGTCTTCACTTCACAGATACGACTAAGTTTGAGGAGACAATCAGTAACTTTTCCAATCACATTTAGGGTAAGGATTCAAACTCAGATCGGATGCTATTTCAACCTCGTTTTTTTTGCAACACTCTCCTCTAACCTCACTGTCCACGTATAGGCCTGGGCTGGATGGATCACCATTATGCTCTTCGGAACCTGTCAGGAAAATTAGCTGAAGTTGTGTTGTTTGCTAAGAAAGGAATAGGATATTTCATCCTCTATACTGTTTAAGGTTTTCAGAGAATTTCTGTGCGAGGAAACAAATCCAGGCAACGTCCGCTTTCATATATCTCTTGGGATAGCTCCTGCACATCCTCTGAGGCCGAGGTCGGCCGGCCTTTGCAGGACACAGAGAAATATTTCAGTCTCCAAGGCGACAGAGATCGCCGCCCTTCTGGTTCTCCCGCGCACCCCGATGACGTCACGCGACGATGTTTTCTGACATCAGAGTTTCCTGCCTGCCATCTTTGTTCCTGGCAAAGTGGGTTTTGCGCAGTGGCTTAGATCTAGAGAAAGAATCGTGACCGGCAGGAAACCATTACAACACCACCCGGGGTTGTGCTCTCCAGCTGCTGCCGCCACCCCCACCCTTGCCTCCGGTGAGTTCAAGGCGACTGACTTTGAGGTGTGTCCCTAATTGGTTGGGGAGTTGGGGGAAGAGGAGAAGGGAATCCTCAGGCTGGGTCGGAGACCGGGGGAGGAGAGGAAATCCTAAGAACGTGACCGTTGAGGATGGAGGGAGCCGTCGGGTGTGACCGTTGTGTGGAAAAGGGTTGGAGAAAGCGTCTCCTCCGTGGTGGCTGTGGTGCCGTGAGGGAATCCTCGAGTGTGGCGGCAGGTAGTGGGGGGTGGGAGGAAAGATGTGTTTCGGAACCGGGGGTTTTGGAAGGCCAGAAGCCAGGGGTGTGGTCGGTAGAAGGCTGGAGGCCGTAGGGGAAACCTTCCTTCTTTCCCGCTCCGCGTCGTTCCTTGAGAGGCTGGGACGTGTCCACCAAGTAAAAGGAAAAGGGATTCCCCAATAGGTTTCCTCATTGGTGGGCAAACGTCGTCCATCTCTCGTAATTTGAGGTTAAGAGACACCTCTTCTCCACCTTGTAATGGAGGAACTTATCCCTAGAGTCTTGACCACCTAGGGAAAGAAAAATTTCTGACACGTAGAGGAAGGATAAGAAACCTCTAGAATTGACCCGATGTGAGAGAGAGGGAAGCCAATGGGAGTAAATCTTGACCCGGAATTTTTTTTTCCTGGGCTTAGCAGGAATAGCCCGGTTTGGAAAAGACTGTAGATTAAGCTAGAAGTTAAGAAACTGGAACTTCCTGTTTTTTTCTTCTTATCTAAATCCAAAGAATGTATTTCATTCTGTTTGTTTTTAGGACAGTCGTCTATATGGGGGCGGGCAGGCCTTTATTGAATTCACTTAGCTATTTCATTATGAAGCAATGTGAATGAAGCCTAGCTGCTTCATTAACCTTTTGACTTTTAAAAAGAAAATTGTTTAAACTACCAAACACTGTTAGCATAACCATTGTGGTTTAAAAGAAAAAGAAAACACAGTAAACTCAGAAAGGCAGAATGACTAAGAAAGAAGGTGGTCTCAATGAGGAACAATTTAGATTATTAATTACCTATCTTGTATATTGGGCTTAGCCTCAGGGTACGTTTACAAATAATAGGCAGTAGCTGATGAAGAAGATGAAGCTGGACAAGAAAACGTGTAACACATTCCACTGATGACTAAGCGTGGTGGTAAGGTGAGAACTGTTTGCAGGTATCTTAACAGTTGAAACTCCCAAGGAAGTAGAAAGGATGGTGTGTTCTGCAAAGAGCCTCACCAAAAGTTGAGTGGTAAAATAAAAGTAAATCTAACATTTTGATTCTGTATTAAGAGACTCAAGGAAGTCCAGTTCTCTCATCTTTTCCCCCATATTTTAGCATATTCGGTTTTAGGCACAGATTTGAACCAAGCTGAATAAGGAATATATTAGATAGGACACATTCTCCTTTCCTTCCTTCCAGTTTGTCAGTTTTCAGTTAAAGATTGAATATACACTTTTGAGCTTCTTTCTTTCTGTATAATATTAACAGATTATTTTGTAGTCTGTAATATTTAAATAGAAATCACAGGTGATTTAGCATTTAAGTTCAGTTTCTTGTGAGCTAAATGATACCTGAACATGCTATTGTCTTTGCATTATTATTGAATATTTGATTAGAAAGGCACTTAGCACCTCTCACCCTTGTAATAAAAGATGGCTGGAGTGACCTTTCTGCTTTATAATTTGGTTAACTTTTGCCAGTTTTTCACTATGAGCACTGAGCTGTATAAATCTCAACTTTGTGAAAAGAAGGACTTAGTGGCCTTACCAACTCTAATTTAGCTCCTGTTTCCCGAGAGCCATTTGAAATAAATACCCTATTATTTTTTTTCCTGCCCTTTTTCTACCCAAGCTATTAATCTTATTTTGCTCCTCAGTTTCTCTTTTGGGGAACTGGAGAGAGGGAGAGATAGGAAAGGAGGGACTTTCACAACCTATATTTGGTTGAAACTAGGTTATGTTAAATCTGGATATATAATCCTGTGCTGGGAGGCCGTCTCTGAAATGCAGTGACATCACACTCTGGTCTAGGACAAGTAAGAGTGATTATGGCAGCCTTGTTTAACAATGTTGGTAGGCCATACCATAAATCCTTAGAGCAGCCAGTGAGTAGAAAGGTAGTTTGAGTTCAAATTTCCCTGGCGTTGCTTATTTTTAAGGATCCGAAGGAACTTTTTCCCTCTGGGAGAAGCTTGAGTTTTGAGGCATTTCAGCAAATGCTTGATTTTTTTCTTTTTCTTTTTTTTCCCTGGAGCTTCATTTTGTCTACTTTTTCCTGTGGCTTATTAGCAGACATTAGTTTTTATCATCCTATATTTTGGGTCCTCTAGATATGTCCATATCTAGCATATGATTTTGTCTCATTAAAATAATATATGTGTAAATTTTTTTTTTTTTGAGTTGGAGTCTCACTCTGTCACCCAGACTGGAGTGCAGTGGCCGCTCCCGGCCACCGCAGCCTCGACCTGCTGGGCTCCAGTGGTCCTTCCGCCTCAGCCTTCCAAGTAACCGAAATTACAGGCATGCGCTACCACACCCGGCTGATTTTTGTGATTTATTGTAGAGATGAGGTCTCACTGCCCAGGCGGGTCGCGAACCCGCGGGCTCAGGCAGTCGACTCACCTCAGCCTCCCAGAGGCGCGGGATTACAGGCTGAGCCACCGAGCCCAGCATGTGTAAATTTTTGAAGTGAAAGTCACATACCATAAAATTAATCATTTTGAGGTGAACATTCCAGTGACATTTAGTAAATTCACAGTATTTTGCAACCATTTGCAGAAGTCTCATTTGTTTTTGTTTAGACAGTTTTTTTCTTGGAGTTTTTTTTTTTTTCTTCTTAAGGCAGGGACTGACTTGGTACAGTTTCCCTGTCAATATGGATAGGGAATTTTTTGTTACTATTATTTATGACAGTGTTGGTTAAGAGTGCAATATGTTTATCCCTTTTCTTCAGAGCAGGGATTCTTAATTTAGGGTCTATTTTATGGGCTTTTTTTTTTTTTTTTTTTTGAGTCAGAGCCTCACTCCGTCACCCAGGCTCCTGTGCAGTGGCATGTTCACGGCCACTGCAGCTTTGACCTGCTGGGCTCAGGTGATCCTTCTGCCTCAGCTTTCCACGTAGCTGGAACTCCAGGCAGGCGCCACCACACCCAACTAATTTTTTGATTTATTGGATGTGCGCGGTCTTACCAAGTGACCCAGGCAGTAACCTGTGGGTTAGGGCAGTCCTCTCTTCTTCACCTCCCAAAGTGCTAGGAGTTCAGCCGAGAGCCACCACACCTGTTATTTGATGATCCTTTAAGACTTAGAATGACATAATAAGATCCTAGACAGAACATACGGATTTGAGTTATAGCCCTCCTGTCAGGCTCTAGTAATCATTTTGATATACTGGTTTTTCTGTATGTACGTGTAAATTCATAGATAACTTCAGATTTATTCAAGGTCTTTTATGTGAGGAATTCCTTTCTTTTTTTTTTTAGAAACAGGATCTCGCTTTGTCTTACAGGAGGCTAAAGTGTAGTGGCACTATCAAGGCTCACTGCAGCCTAAACTTCCTGGGCTCAAGCAATTGTCCTGCTTTGGCCTCCTTAGTAGCTGGGACTAGAGGCTTACACCACCACATCTGGCTAATTTTTAGATGCTTTTGTAGAGACAAGGTCTTGCTGTGTTGCCCAGGCTCATCTCTATTTACCAGGCTCAAGAAATTCTCCTGCCTCAGCTTCCCAAAGTGCTGGGATTGCAGGAGTGAACCAGCACACCAGGCCTGGATTCCTTTCTTTGTTTGCCCTCTAATTTACACTGTGAATGGATTAAATGATTATAACATTCTTTGAATTTTTGCTAGAAAGGCATTATAAAAACATTGCAAAAGAAAGGCCTCTATTACTGATTAATTTTTAATTATAACAAATATTAAAACAAATTTCTATATAATGATATTTCTGAGTTCTAATTCACTTCTTTTTAACAAGATAATTCAGTAAAATTCTTGTACGACCTAAAAAACTGTTATATTAGGATCAAAATTGTAAATAATAATTAACTGGTTGGAGGATAGGAAATGAGTCTAGTTTTCATTAGATTGCACAAATAGCACATTTTAGAGAACAGACTTGAACGAGACTTTTCTTATTATTTTATATGTTTATCTGACTCTTTTTCCTTTTCTTTAATTACATTGGTGTGTTTGGTGCTTAGGTCTTTTCTTCCAGATCATATTTGTTATTGCTTGCCAATTGTATCATCACTCATGTTATATTGACCTGATAGTAATGAACAGGTGCCAGAATGTCTTGTCCTAGAGTTGGTAATAAGTATTGTTAATGATAGTGGTGTGGAAGAAGATACTCATTTTCGAGTGCAGAAGAAATATATATATTTTGAGTTGGAGTCTCACTCTGTCACCCAGACTGGAGTGCAGTGGCCGCTCCCGGCCACCGCAGCCTCGACCTGCTGGGCTCCGGCGATCCTTCCGCCTCAGCCTTCCAAGTAGCTGGAACTACAGGCGTGCGCTACCACGCCCGGCTGATTTTTTGATTTATTGTAGAGATGAAGTCTTGCCAAGTTGCCCAGGCGGGTCTCAAACCCGCGGGCTCCCAAAGTGCGGGATTACAGGCTGAGCCACCGAACCTGGCAAGAAATATTATTTAAATAAAAATTTAACATATTTAAAGAAGTACATTGGACAGAGTCCTTTCTTAAATCAGAAAAATTGTCTAATTATTTGGGAGCAAAGTGACCAGCCTGTGCTGTTTTTGTTTTACTAGAGGAGCCTTGTGTCTGTGAGCCACCTTGTCCAGCATCAACGCCCGGTTCTGATTCTCTTTTGCATACAATATGACTGAACAGATATGCTCAGTCCTTTGCCCTGTTTTAACTGTAAACTGATAATGTTCTTTGGGAATTCTTTGGGCTAAATATAGATTGTTGGAAATAAAGCCACAATGAAAAAAAAATATGTGTAAGCCATGTTTGCTTCTATAGATGTTTGTCGTGAAAGAATATTGTTCTACTAATGGAGACTTCTTTTTCTGAAAGAGATTCCTTTTATTGAAAGTTGCATGTAGGCCAGGCGTAGTGGCTCACGCCTATAATCCTAGCACATAGGAGGCTCAGCTGAGAGGATTGCCTGAGCCCATGAGTTTGAGACCAGCCTGGGCAACTTGGTGAGACCTCATCTCTACAATAAATCAAAAAATTATCCGGGCGTGGTGGTGTGTGCCTGTAGTTCCAGCTACTTGGAAGGCTGAGGTGGGAGGATTGCCTGAGTCCAGCAGGTCAAGGCTGCAGTGGCTGTCAGCGTGCCACTGCACTCCAGCCTGGGTGACAGAGACTCTCACTCAAAAAAAAAAAAAAGTTGCAGCTGGGCTCAGTGGCTCAGCCTGCAATCCCAGCGCTTTGGGGAGACTGAAGTGAGAGGATTGCCTGAGCCCTTGGGTTCGAGACCCGCCTGGGCAACTTGGTGAGACCTCATCTCTACAATAAAAAAAATAAAAAATTTGCCGGGTGTGGTAGCGTGCACCTGTAGTTCCAGCTACTTGGAAGACTGAGGCAGAAGGATCGCCGGAGCCCAGCAGGTCGAGGCTGCAGTGGCCAGGAGTGGCCACCGCACTCAAGTCTGGGTGACAGAGTGAGACTCCAACTCAAAAAAAAAAAAAAAGTTGCATGTAGTATCACGTAAGTTGGCAGGATTGTTTTCTCATTTGATATTATACTTCAGAATACATGCTTTGAAGCTACTCCAACTTGAGGCAAGTCAGTAACTAGATTTTCATGAATGGAAAGTAGTGAGAAAGAGTTTTCAAAATGAATAAGACTTTTTCTTATCTTCAGTGTTTAAGTGATTGATTGAAGATGTGTTTACAAAAAGGTCTAGCTTTAGCTCATGGAGGCTTCGAGGAGATAATTTTGGGTAAAATCACAAAGCCATAATACATAATAGGCTCAGTTTATCACCTGATCATTTGGCCTTTAGATTTTACCCTATTAGCTCTTTAAGGAGTTTTATTTGTTATATTCTTAATTTCCTCTGTATCCTTTGAATCACCAGTGGTGGTGGTAAGGAAGAAGATACTCTTTTTTTTTTTTTTTTTTTTTTTTTGAGTTGGAGTCTCACTCTGTCACCCAGACTGGAGGAGCGGCCACCGCAACCTCGAGCTGCTGGGCTTCAGCGATCCTTCTGCCTCAGCCTTCCAAGGAGCTGGAACTACAGGCACACGCTACCACACTTGGCTGATTTTTGATTTATTGTAGAGATGAGGTCTCGCCAAGTCGCCCAGGTGGGTCTCGAACCCGTGGGCTTGGGCAATCCACTCACCTCAGCCTCCCAAAGGCGCGGGATTACAGGCTGAGCCACCGAGCCCGGCTCTTTTTTTTTTTTTTGAGTCAGAGTCTCACTCTGTCACCCATACTAGAGTGCGTGGCATGCTCACGGCCCTCTACCTGCTGGGTTCAGGCAATCCTTCTGCCTCAGCCTTCCAAGTAGCTGGAACTACAGGTACACACCAGCATGCCCAGCTAGTTTTTTGATTTATTGTAGAGATGAGGTCTCGCCAAGTTGACCAGGCTGGTCTCAAACCCGTAGGCTCAGGCAATCCTCTCACCTCTGTCTCCCAAAGTGTTGGGATTACAAGCATGAGCCACTGTGCCCGGCAATACTCATTGTTGAGTGCAGAAATTCTTAACATAAGTGTTCTTAAAATTAGTTGGATATCTTACTAGATTGATCTCTCTCTCTCTCTCTCTCTCTCTCTCTCTCTCTCTCTCTCTCTCTCTCTCTGTGTGTGTATATATATATATATATATATATATATATATAAGATCTAGATAAAGGAATTCTTTTCTCTTGCTGTAGGTGCACACTAAAGATCTGAAGTCATGACTGACTCCAAGTACTTCACAACCAATAAAAAAGGTAAGTATGAAAAGCTGATCAAATCTTTGAGATTCTTCAAAAAGTTGTAGTGTAAGATCGTCCAATGTAGAATGTTCCTGATCTTTTCCTTTAGATATACATATAGGAAACAGTCTCACTGAAAATTGGCAACTTCTATACACGCATGTATTTGAACAAGTTACTGAAGTATAGGTTTTTAAAGATAGGACTATGATGTGCGTAATTTTGATTTGAAGGTTCTATTTTAGTAAAAGGAGCTCCTCTTTTCTATTTGAAGTCAACATTGATCCATTGAAAATTGATAGATCTGAGGAGGGCAAAAGAGAAAGAAGCTCATTTCTTCTATTAATTTTTTTCTTGGAAATAAAAATATATATATTTTTTTGAGTTGGAGTCTCACTCTGTGAGCTCACCTGCTGGGCTCCGGCGATCCTTCCACCTCAGCCTTCCAAGTAGCTGGAACTACAGGTGTGCGCTACCACGCCCAGCTAATTTTTGATTTATTGTAGAGATGAGGTCTCACTAAGTTGCCCATGCGGGTCTCGAAGCCGCAGGCTCAGGCAATCCACTCACCTCAGCCTCCCAAAGCGCGGGATTACAGGCTGAGCCACCGAGCCCGGCTGGAAATAAAAATTTTATAATAAGAAATACAATTAAAGCATATAGTTAAGTATTTAAAAAGTAAAAATGAAAGTTCCCCCTCCCTGTTTCTATTCCTGAGGGAACTTGATGTGTTTCCTAAATCTTTTTCTATGCATATAAGTATGTATTAATGCACATGATTTTAAAAAATTTTATCTTTAATGTAAAAGGAATCCTACCAAATGTATAGAAGCATGATATTTTCACATCTTTCCATATAGATCTACCCTGCTTCTTGTCTAAATGTATATTTAAAACTGAGAACCTCTAAAGTCAAATCTATGATTTTTTTTTTAGGTCATAGACTGAATTACTTGAGTAACTTTGGATTTTTTAGCCTCATCATCTTTGTGATCAATAATGCAATTCTTGTTTTTAAATGAGTGTAGGCCTAGAAACTAAGGAATCTTGGGAAAGTACAACCTCTCATCTTTTTTTTTGTTGTTGTTGTTAGAGTCTCATTCTGTTGCCCAGCTTGGAGTGCAGTGGCAGAATCACAGCCACCGCAGCCTCGACCTGCTAGACTCAGGTGATCCTTCCACCTCAGCCTTCCAAGTAGCTGGAACTATAGAACGTGCTACCATTCTCATCTAATTTTTTTTATTTATTGTAGAAAAGAGGTCTTGCCATGTTGCTAGGCTAGTCTCGAACCCCTAGGCTCAGGCAGTCCTCTTGCCTCCGCCTCCCAAAGTGCTGGGATTACAGATGTGAGCCACCATGCCTAGCTTACAACTTTCTGTCTTTTGTAAAATGGTGCCAAACAAAACAGCTCATTTCTAGAGATGTGGACGGCCCTCGCATCATAGACAGACCAGTTTAGTTCATTGCAGCCTATTGTGCCTGCAGCTGAGATTGCTGTATTTATTTGTTCCTTCGGATCAGAATTCTGTGCTTTTTGTTTTCTGCAGTCCTTATATTTGCCAAAGTATTCTGGACGTGACACTAACGGCCATTCCTCTTTTCCTCTTGTTTGCCAACAATTTGGCTGGCTTCTCAAATGTACCTTTTCTTCTCTCCTCCAATGGCTGAAATAGGACAACTTTTCTGCCCCAGAATTTGTCTCTCTTATTTCTCATGTAATGTTTAATATCCTGATTGTCTCCAGGTTTAGTAAAGTCTTGAAGAACATTTTGTAGTCTTTTTATTGATTCATTTCGTTATTTATTATAGTAAACATTTACTGAGTATCTACGATGCAGGAGTCACGTTTACTTCACACCCAAACATTGATGGAGTCTCCAAGTCAGTAGGTGCACAGGACAGCTATTACCTATATCTTGGTTTCCAAATACCATTTCTCCCTAAAAGGAATCAGGACTCCTTGGAGAAATGATTGATCCCAGGACAAGGTTTAAGGAAAGTACAAGATGAACATGAACATCTTGTGCCAGAAAGTAAGGAAGTGCTCAAAAAATAAGCTGGGCTCGGTGGCTCAGCCTGTAATCCCGTGCCCTTGGGAGGCTGAGGTGAGTGGATTGCCTGAGCCCGCGGGTTCGAGACCCGCCTGGGCAGTGAGACCTCATCTCTACAATAAATCAAAAATCAGCCAGGTGTGGTAGCATGCGCCTGTTGTTCCGGCTACTTGGAAGGCTGAGGCGGAAGGATCGCCGGAGCCCAGCAGGTTGAGGCTGTGGTGGCCGGGAGCGGCCACTGCACTCCAGTCTGGGCGACAGAGTGAGGCTCCGACTCAAAAAACAAAACAAAACAAAAAATGTTGGGACATGTCAAGGAAAGCATAACTTGAAGGGGCTTTCACTGGCCAAATTTGAGATAATTTGAGCAAGAAAAAAGTGATCATAGTGATGGATTATAACTCATTGAAAAATAAATGTGTGTGTACATGTATATGCATAAATCATGGTAGTAATTTAGACAAGATTCATCAATGAATGTAAAAACTAGCAGGTGAAAGTTTGTGGAGGAACAGGATATTTACACAGTCTCAAAATATCTTTTCACAGATTACTAAGTATAAAGGAAAAAAATAGTAACTTTACAGTATAAAAATCTGACATTTGCAACTTTAACCAAGTATTCAGTGTTAACTCACCAATAATGGGACAAACAACATTTTGCCTTACGACATGATGCACTGAGAAGAACGTACAAATCACTTATGAGTTAGCTTGCCAAAAACAGGTAACCTCAATGTAATCATAAAGGAGCACCTATGAATGACTAACTTAGGGCATTCTGTAACAACTGGCCTATAATTTTTTTTTTTTTTGAGTGGGAGTCTCACTTTGTTGTCCAGGCTGGAGTGCAGTGACACACTCACAGCCACCCTAGTGTCATCCTACTGGGCTCTGGTGATCCTTTCACCTCAGCTTTCCAAGTATCTGGAACCCCAGGCACGCACTACCACGTCTGGCTAATTTTTGATTTATTGTAGAGACAAGGTCTTACCAAGTTGCCTGGGCTGGTCTTGAACCTGCGGGCTGAGGCACACGACTTACCTTGGCCACCCAAAGTGCTGGAATTGCAGGCTGAGCCACCGAGCCTGGCCTTTTTTTTTTTTCTTTTTTTTTTAAATAGAGACAAGGTCTTGCCAAGTTGCCCAGGCTTGTCTTGAACCCCTGAGCTCAGGCAGTCCTCTCACCTCCACCTCCCAAAGTGCTGGGATTACAGGTGTGCGTCACCTTGCCCGGTCTAGCCTGTACTTTTAAATTATCATGAAAAGGCCGGTTAGGCCGGGCTCGGTGGTTCAGCCTGTAATTCCGCGCTTTGGGAGGCCAAGGTGAGTGAATTGCCTGAGTCCGCGGGTTTGAGACCTGCCTGGGCAACTTGGCAAGACCTCATCTCTAC